CGAAGTACACTGCTGAGGGGAGCAGCGGGCGGCAGGAGAGGTCTGCGCGCCATGTGGGACCCTCCTCCGGTGGCCAGGGAGCAGCCGGGGATCGAACCGGTGGTGCAGCGGTTGAGCGCTGGGTTGCGAAGCTGTCCGCGGCCTCTGTGGCGCCGGTTCGATCCCCGGCTGCACAGAGCCGCGGGCAGCTTCGCAACCCAGCGCTCAACCGCTGCACCACCGGGGAGGCCCGAGGAGCAAGGCCTTTGGAGAGAGAAAACCTCATTTGCCTTCTTGATTAAACCAGTGTTTAAAAATCAGAGGAAAACATCCCAGTGCACATTCCTCCCAACCCCCCTCCCACCATCCTCCATCATTAATATCAGCTATTTGGTACAAGCAAGAAAAGGAAGGAGAAGAGTAGTATCCTTACGAGCCAGGGAGGAAGCATATTCTGCTTTGCTCTCCTCTTTCTCACATTGCCTCTTCTCTTCCAAAAGGAGTGGGTTGAGGGCCTCCCTGGTGGTGCAAGGGGTTAAGCGCCGCATTATGGAGCAATCTGCAGCCTCTGCAGCACGAGTTTGATCCCCAGCCAGTCAGGGAGCAACCCACATGGCGAAACAGACCTCCCCTGTCTCGTCTGCTGTTCCCCTCAGCAGTGTATTTCAGTCATTCTGCCTGTTCTGTTTCCCACTCTGTCTCAGGTGAATCCTCTCACCCCCCACATCTCTGGCCTGTACCCCAGCTCTTGTATGCATAACTAAATAAATCTTAAAAAAAATAATTTAGGGAAAAAAAAACAAAACAAAAGGAGTGGGTTGAGGTTCCACTTAGTGATAAGGGTTTACAAACTAGTAAGTACAAAACTATAGATTGCCCCCCTTTGCTAATATCTTCAAAAAAGATCCTGATAAAATTGTGAGTCTTTTTATTGCATTGGGAGATATATATAAAATATTATAGTTTTTTATTAATTTCTTATCCAAATGCTAAATTTTACTGCTGTATTGCAAAGTAGTTTATTATAGAAAAAAACTGGCTTTATTTCAAATGGGGTTCCGGAAGGCTGTTCCAGGTTGCAGGGTATGGAAAGAACACACACACACACACACACACACACACACACACACACACGTCCCTTTCGGGAGACACAGAATTACTCAAGACCAAAATAGGAAGATAAGCGATAAGCTTGGGATTGTGAGAAGTGGAAAGGTAAAGAATGAATGAATAAGAGATTGGAAAGACAAGAAAGAGTCTTTCCCAAAAGAGGAAGGAGAGAGTGAGGAAGGAAATGGTGAGCGAAGAGCCAAGAGAGAGACATAGAATGGTACTCAGCCAACAGACAAAATGAGTACAGGAATAAGCAGTCAGAAAAACCACAAATTACAACTCCTAAAGCACAGTCAGCGCAAAGGAAGAAATGTCCAAATAATAAGACAGATGGGGAAGATGGAGGAGAGGGCCTCCGACAGGTAGACAACAAACATCCTCTCCCATCACTCCCAGCTCCCAACACCATTGCCTTTCTTGCTCCCAGTCTCTCCAAGCAGCTTCCTCTGCTCCAGCCTTAAGAAAAATGACCTGCCACTAAGCTTCCAACAGAGGAGGGTCCAGCCTCCCCCAGGCACTTAACACTCCACATTGTCATTAATCCTTGGGGGTTTCATAGGAGACCCTAGGTCCCATCCTAGTAATATCTGTATCTCCACAGCCTAAGATAGCACCTGGAAATAATAGACGCTCAATAAGTATGAAAAGAATGCATGAATAAATGAGTGAAAGCTAGCCTACCACCAAGTTACCCAAAGAGCAGAAATATGGAATCTAAAGAGAGAGAGGATGCAGGAAAATTCGGTCCTACTAAGTCCCAGCTTGAAATATCTGGCTCCTGCTCCCAAGGAGACAGGAAGCCATAGGAACTTTTCTCCTCATAGAAATAAATGTTCGCCCAGAAAGAATGGCTCTGATTCTTCACAGATTCTGGTTCCAGTCCTCTGACCTCACCCTGCTGTTATGAGCCTGCAGGCTGATCACTTTGCAAAATCAGATGTGCGCTGTTTCTCCAGGAACATGAACTTATTCTGAATCTGTAAGCAAACTCTTCCAATTGTCAAAATACTTGTGGTATGATCCATTTATTCTCCTTGTGGACAGTAAAGGATCCTCCCTGGGTCTTTTCTGTCCAGTGTTTTCATTTCAAAACCCCACACCCCTCCCTCTGCCTGCCAAGAGGACAGCAGTGTCACCCCGCGGCCCAGCCCAGACTTGTCTTCATGCACAGTGACTCTGCCTGTCGGTGAAAGAGGGAACTCTGGCCTGCCAGTCACCTCGCTCACACTGCTTTCATTCCCAGTCCCCTGGCACCCGGGGTTCTTCGGGAGTGGCCCTCACCTCTCTCACAGTAGGAAATACAGTCTGAACTTCTCAACTGCTACCCCCAGTGAAAACCATGATCAGAACAGGATGATCAGCCAAAAGAGTCTCTAGTCATTTTTCAGATTTCTCTGGGGGAACCAAGAAATGGGTGACCCTAACGTTGGTCATATGTTTAAGATACCTTACAGGCCAAAGATGATTTACAAAACAAACACATTTCCAAAACCGTCTTATCTATCTACTATCTATATTCAAATTGTAATTTGAAAAAGCAATGCTTACACTAACATTGTAATAAGCCAGGGTTAAGAGGAGTAGCTCATACATCTGGTTGAAAGGATTACTACTGACCCTTACAAAGTAAAACAAAAGTCCCTCTTGTGTTGCAGTGGAGCAGTCGACCCCTGCTGCAGGTTCCCGGAGACCACATCTGCCTTAGTCTAGAAAGGACAGCTGTGCGCTCATGTTCTCATCAAATACAGTACCTTCCCCAAGGATTTCAGGAATGAGCAGTTTCTAAGACTCCAAGAATGCAGAAGGCCCTGAAGTCTGTGCTGGCAAGGAGGTGGGAGAGAGATGTTTACGCTAAAGAATAAAGCACATACCTGGGTAATGGACCTGCCAAAACAGCCTCCCCACTCTCTGAGTTTGCCCTCTAGATGCCTAAGGGAAAGACAGCTTTTAAGTCACATCTTGCACATCACTGCTTCTGACCCAAGTGGTGATACATCTTGTACCCTTTAAGGACAGTCAACAGAGCCTGGGTCTAGCACACACCACTGACAAGCAGAAGCTGTCACGCTGTTTGATTGCTTCTTCAAAGGCAGGTCTTCTGATGGCAAGGTCCACATTCCCAGCAGGAGTCCTCTTCCTAGAATTGCTTCCGAAAGTCAGTCTAGCCACCAGGCAGCAAAGACTGAGGTCTGTTACTTTATGCCAGTGAGTGACCCCTGCAGGGGCATCCCAGGTAGTGGACGGAGCAACAGCTGCTTTCCCCATTAAGATATCCTGTTCTTGGCCTTTGCTTTTCCCCCCAGCAATCTGACGACCGAGTTGGTCTGTGTGCAGAGGTTGAAGCTGCCTCCTTTGCAGTTTCCCTATGACTCAGACAGTGCTTGTAGGGGCTGGGCAGTGGCAGCTCTACAGACCTCAGTTGGAAGAATGAGTACAAGGAAGCAGACTCAGGCCAAAGACCTCCCTAGAGAAACCAGGTGGTGGGAGGAGAAGGCTGGGAAAGGAAGATGTTCAACTCCAGGAAGGGACTAGCTGAGCCAAATGGGTTAGTGTGAAAGACTCTGGTTCCAGGCCAGGCGCTCCCCTCCAACTTTGAGTAGCCATTTGGAAAGGGTGGAGCATTAGACCCCCACAGGTAACCAAGGATTCCGGGCCATCCCCCAAATGCCATGACTATGACAATAGCAAAACAGAGTATGGCATAGATTCAAGTTGCAGTCTCCAAAATCAGAGGAAGCAGGTCACTTGGATGCCTTCTCCTCCCGGTCTCCTGATCTGAGAAATTTCAAGACTCCAAAAAAACATGACTATTCTCACTCTATGCTGCGAAATGTTCATGCATCCATAGTTTATTTAAAACAAACTATCAGGTGAAGACCTGCAAAAAGTAGAGCTGATTCTATCTGCTTTTTTTTTTTTTTTTTTTTAATCTGAGCGTCTTTCTAACCCCAATACTCAGCTCCCAATCCTGCAGCTGGGCTCCGCAGAAGCTCTTTGCTAGGTGGCGCCTCTCCCACAGCACTAAGGGTGGAGCTCTATGGTCAAGTGCAGTCATAGGTAGAATTTTCAGTCGTGAGCAACCTTGGCTACTCTGCTCGGGAGAACACATCTGGGAAAACTAGTCACCCTCCGTCAACAAGGACGTAGGAAAACTGAAAGAGAAGTTCCCAGCTCAGATGCAAGTGAAACGCCAAGCTCCAAACAGGTGCCCTAACTAGACTACCTACCCCAAATGGACTGGAAGCCCCTAAAATAAAGGGCAGTCCCAGGACAGAAGGACGTGCGAGAAAGTGGCAAAAGAAGGAGGGAATGGATGCTCTGAGTGCTTCAGTCTGTCCTTTCAGTGAAAGGATAGTTCCCTCTATCCCAACCCAGGTTTTCCAGGCCCAAGTCAGAGCTAAGAAAACGACTATGTTGTCCTGGAGATATGTAGCCAGGTACTGAACTAGGACAGTTAGATCACCTTCCAGTTCTACAAAGAAGGGACGCCTCGGAAGGGGTGTCTGAAAGAACTTAGACGCCGCCATGCAGTAAGGAGGACCTTTCCCGCCCTCTCTAACACCATCCTCAGAGCGCCTCCTGTCTACCTTGGAGACAAACTGCGGTTCTGGGGCGGCAACTTCCTGGGTTCCGGCCCCTCGGCGCCTGATCTAGGAGGCGCTGATTGGCCACTCCAGGCCAACACCTTCCCAAGAGCAGACGCTCCTCTGACGGCCCACGTGTGTCCAGATGCCTGTGAACCGGAGCTCAGCTGAGGCAAAGAGCGGGCTCTCTCCGAAAGATCCAAAGTGGGACTCAGAATTCAGACTCAGGGACATTTCACGCACAAAGGAGATTTGGAGAACTACCGGTGATAACCCTAAGAAAATGCAGCCATGAGAGTCCAAAGAGGTGACAGATCAACTCACCTGCCTGGTGAAAAGGATGGCGGTGTCCCAGTATTCAGGGTGTTTGTCGCTCACTTTATTTAGCTTCTTTTGCCAGGCGCAGAAGTTGCGCAGAGTCAAGGCCGCGTTGCCCGTGACCTTGGGCCCTGTGTCGCGGTCTCCGAGAAGCAGGACCTTGACCACCACGATGCTGATGGGGTTGAGGATGCTGGGATGGCGGTAGAGTCGCGCCGCGGTGGCCAGTAGCGTCAGCAGATAATGCTCCAAGTCCGCGCCGTGGAACTTGACCATGGACTCGTCCGCCACCACCAGCGTCTCCACGTAGCGTGGAATAGACACGAACCGTTTCGCGCGCCCGGACCTGCGCCAACTGCGGCTCCCCCCTAAGCCAGTCCGCCGAGGCTTGTAAGGGTCTAAAGCCCGCAGGATGGCGGGGTTCCAGCCTGAGGCCACCCCGCAGCGAGAGGTGGGATCTCCGGCCGGCCCTCCGGGGACGCCCCTGCGCTGGAGGAGGTGTGCGCCCTGGCTGTTGCGCTGCGCCACCGGCACGCTAGCGTTGGGCAGAGGGCTAATGACATACTCGGTTCCACGGTAGCCGAAGGCTCCGCGTAGCCCCCCGCACAGGCTCACCGCGGCGAACGAGTCCGGCTCGGCGTTCACGTCCCCAGAGTAAAAGCAACGTCGCAAGTCTGGAGAGCTCCGGGTGAGCTCCTGGAGGGGAACGCCCAGATACTCGGTAGCAAAAGCTGGCGCCAGGAACTGAGCATCCGGCATCAGGTGTAGGTAAAAGTCCTCCTGAAATGCTGTGATCTGAAAAATGAGTCCTTGGTTCCCGGAGTCCTCAGGACTCCGCTGGTAATAGTGGCGACCGTTGATGTCCTGGTCCAGTCGGATGGGGACCACCACCTCCCGTTCTGGCTCGGACCCGCCGGCGGGTATCCAGGCGAGAGCCAGGGTTAAGATGCCCAGCAGGAGCATGGCGCCGGGCAGCGCGCAGCGGCGCTCTCGCAAGGGCTCAGCCGGGCTCCCCCGGTTGCCGGCACGTACCCCTTTGCAGCCAGCACTGAAACCACAAAACACTTGGAGAAGCCCGCAGCTCTCAGAAAGGAGAGCGCATGAAGAGAGACTCCTCTCAGAGCAGTGAGCCTGCAACGGGCAGCCCGCGCCTCCTACCTGTGCCTTTCCAAGCAAAGCGCGCCCTGGGAGCTTAAGTACAATCACTGTCAAGTGCAAGGACGAAGATTTGCAGCCGAGAACTAGAGGGAGATGCCGGGCGGCTTCTCCCAACCTCCGCCACTCGCAGCGCCGCAAAGCAGGCGCTGGGCGAGCCTATTAAAGGCCCCCTCCTCTTTGGACTGCCCAGTCGGCGCCCCTCCCTCTTCTCCCTCTCTGCCTCCCAAAGCTTGCAGCCCCAAGCCTCCAGGGGCCACCGAAGAACTCGGTCCCGCCTCCAGAGCGGAGAGCCACTTGGCGGAGGGAGTGGCGTTCGCTGAGGCAGGAGGCGTGGGCTGGCCCGGGAAACCAACACTAGAGTCTCGGTTCTTGTTTTACCCCTCCGCCGTGCCTCAGTGCGCCCCCTCCTCACCCCCCTCCCTTACGCACACATCAGCCACTTCTGTCCAGGCGGTCCAGCCTTCCCTTCAAGACAGTTGGAGTCAGGAATTGGGAATGAAGACGCACTACTGCCCCCCACTCCCAAACCACCTGGTCCCGCCCATTGTAACCTCTGGGTTTCTTCATCACGGTGCCCCTTAAACACACAGAACCAAGACTTACCCTGTAAATATCCTATTGCCAAAAGGGCAACTTCCCAGGGACACTGAGTGCCCTTCTAGAAGTCAGGATCCTCTTGGTCCCTCCTGGAAACTGGGGCAGCTCCAGGGACTGGTGGAGGTTGTTCAATTTTCAGGAATTTTGCCAGTCAGCTGTTAAACACAGTTATTATTTAAAATTAAAGTATATAAACTTCTAAGTTATTTTTTAAAACAAACCCCACCTCTCCCTAATAATTTGATTATCTGTGCTCTTGAGCCTCCAGAACCACCAACTCCCATCCCCTACTCCCAGGACAACTAACAGTTTCCAGAAAAGGGCGCAGAGTAAGTGGAAGTCTGATGGAATTGCTAATTGGGGTGCTCATCTTCATGTCCCCATCAGCTGCATTTGCCCCTCCTCTCTGCATGTCCCCATTCAAGGACATTACCTGAGAACTTGGAATAGGTTTACACCACTGAAAGAGGCAAACGCCACCACTCAGGGCTTGGAAGGAGAGGGGAGCCCCTGTCAAAGAATAAAAATACACACCAAAAACATGGGAAAGTTGTGTTCTTGCAGGCTGGGGGGTGAGAGGACACCCAGTGGCTGCAGACAGTAGACGAATGAATGGCACCTCCTCCATGAGTTCATCTTGCAGGGCTGTGAGTGGATGGGACTGCCACCATCAAGTTATGAGTTCCCCTCTAGTTCGGAGGGATGTGGGAGGTGCTTTGTTTCCAGCATGGTCCTTAAGGTCCTCATTATTGCTCCATCAACTCCATGTCTTTCTTCCAACAAGGAAGAAAGACAAGTAGAGTAAGGAAATCTTTACTAATCTCAATACCTAGAAAGTCTTTACAAAACCAAAGACTCCGGATTGAATCTGCAAGAGGAGCAGGCAGGGAAAGGAAGTACACAGTGATTGTAAGTATAAGAAAGGGAATGGTGTGGAAGAGTTTTAGAACTTTCTTAGGGAAGTGGCCACCCAAGTAAATAACCCTGCTGTTGAAGTAGCAAGAAATCTGGGACCTGTCCATCAGAAAGGAGCATGTTTTGCCCATTATCGTCTCTCCATAAAGCATTGGCTCTTCAGAGGGCTCCCTGGAGCTTTAAGATAAGAAGACTGCTCAGATACCCAAAATTCTCTTGGGGCCCCTCTCCAATTGAGATGCATGGGGCTGAAATTCATTACATGAATGAGTGTGAGTGTTTATGCTCTGTAAATGAAAGGGAAAATGTGCATATGGGACAATTGTGTGTGTGAGAGAGAGTTCAAATTTACAAAGGCATTGTGTGTTGGAGTGTTTAAGGAGGGCCTATAATTAAAAGAAAACTCAGAAAACTGAGGATAACCATTAAGTCACTTATTTAGGGCAAGGAATTGTTTTCCTACACCCAGAAGCTTTAATGGTGGGTTACAAGATTTCCAAAGACATTTTACTTTCACCGTGTTGGATGAGGTTTGGCAAGGCTGTGGCTTGTCGGTCAAGATGCAGACTCAGGGCAAGGAACACTTTTCCTCCTGTGTGCCTGTCTTTTCCTTCCCCGGTCATAGCCTAGCTGTTCTCAATGCTGAGCACAGAAACCGACCATGTGCACTTTCTCAAAGGCATTGGCATCCATTGAACCCTGATTCTGTGCTAAGCCACACCAAGAATTTTATGTGCATTAGCTTGTTTAATGCTTCTCTCCTTGGGAAGCTGCAATTTTGTCCAAGAGGACAAAATTTTACCAGGGTTTCCTAACCAAGAATTTAAACTCTTGAAATAAGATGAAGTAGAGGACAAGTAGAAATTAGGAGAACTCAACATTGACACTCCATTTCCATCACTGATGTGATTCTCTTACCCCAATTTTCTCATTTGTCAAGGAGGAGAAATTCTCTTAGAGCAGAGACTTCAATCAGAGGACTGTGCTAAAAATTTCCAGTGTAGATTATATCAAAGATCCTTCCTGATCAAAAGTTACATGACTGCTTGAGGCCTATGGAAAACAACATAGCATGATGATTAAGAGTCCAGCCTCGAAGACCCAAACTTGCATCATGGCTCCCCCAGATCTTAGTTGTTGAAACTTGGGTAAGTTACTGTCCCTCCCTAAACCTCTTCTTTGTCATTGTTAAAGTGATAATGATACTACTACCCAGCCCCTGTAACTATTATGAGGATTTAAAAAGTTAATGCTGGACCTCCCTGGTGGAGCAAGGGGTTAGATGCAGCACGATGAAGCTATCTGCAGCACAATGAAGCTATCTGCAGCCACTGCAAGGAGTTAGATCTCCCGCCAGGCAGCTGACCTACATGGCACAGCAGACCTCTCCTGTCTTGCCTGCTGCTCCCCTCAGCAGTGTATTTCAGTCAATCTGCCTGTTCCATTCCCCACTCTGTCTCTGGTCTGTACCCCAGTTCTTGTATGCGTAAATAATATTTAAAAAAAATAAAAAGTTAATGCTTAGAGAATACTCAAAAGTGCTTATACAAAAAGAAAAGTTTCTTAAATGCTAATAGTACTGTTAATATTCTTATAAATTATTTTATCACTGCTAATACTATTACTTCTAGTAGTGCTACCACTACTACTGCTACCAAGCCCCAAGAGGATTGCCATCTTCATCTTCTGAAGTTCCCAGGTATTACTGACACAGAAGGGAGGAGAACTCGTGGGCACATCCTTCCCCAGCTCTGCTCAGGGGCTCCCAATGTCACTCAGCAGTTCTGCTTCCATGCTAGGGCTTGTCATAGGCACTCTCTTGCCTCTCCTGGTCCTTCATGATCTTAAGAGCTTTAGAAATGAAAAAAAAACCCGCAACTTTTGAGTCCTCAAAAAAAAAATAGACATTCCTTTTTGTCTGGTAATCCTTCTTCAGGTATCTATCTGAAGAAAAAAAAAAAAAAAAACACTAGTTGGGGAAAACATCCGTGCATCCCCTGTTCGTCACAGCTCTGTTCTCAATAGCCCAGAGCTGGAAACAGCCTAAGCACCCACTGACCAGTGACTAAATAAAGAAGGTATAGTATATACACACAATGGAATTCTAATCAGCTATAAGAAGAAGAGACCCTGTCATTTGCAACAACATAGGGGACCTGCAGGGTATTCTGCTAAATGATAAACGTCTGATGGAGAAAGACAAACACCATATGCATAACTGATAACCAATCTAAACAAAAACATACTCTTAGTCTATAAGAACAACATCTCAGCAGAAGGAAGGGGGATGGAGATGGAGAAATTATGTAAAGGGGGTTAGCTGTGTGGGCGGGCACCAGCTCCTCTCAAAGAAAGATGGGCACCTCACTCATTCTATCTAATCTAAATACCTCAGCTTGGGGGCCTCCCCTCATGGCGCAGCAGTTGAACACTGGGCTGCGAAGCTGCCCGCAGCCTCTGCAGTGCCGGTTCGATCCCCGGCCCCCGGCAAGGGTCCCACATGGCGCACAGACCTCTCCTGCCATGCCCGCTGCTCCCCTCAGCAGTGTACTTCATCAGTCTGCCTGTTCTGCTCCCCGCTCTGGCTCTGGTGAGTTTTCTCACCCTCTCTCGCTTCTGACTGTACCCAGTGCTTGTATAAATAAATAGATAAATTTTTAACAATAAATAAATAAATACCTCAGCTTGGCCTTTTATGTCCACCAATGAGGCTGACCTCTTCCTTCCCTATCAGGTTTCAGTCCAAGTACCCACTCTGTAGAGTTTTTAGGCCACGCAACCTAAGAAGTTCCAGATCACAATCTTGATGCTCTGGTTTATTTTTGCCACGGCATTTATTTCCATCTAGACCTATTTCACTTACTTGGGTTCTGATTTTTTTTATTGTCTTTCTTCCCTCTGTCACATTCACGATTTTATCTTGGAGGGTCTGGCACCGTGCTGGGAAGATTGGGGCTCTCCATAAATATAGAATGAATGAATTGACTCCATTTAATCTCAGTCTGTGAAACTTTGGACAAGACACTTCATCTCTGAAATGAGGACATGGCTATGTCCTAGGAGAATTTGGAGTGTCTGACACGCTGCTCCCATAATTAATAATGTCCTAAAGCTCTTTTACAGGAAGTTGAATCCACCATCCCGGTCATCTAGCCAGTACTCTCATTTCATAGTGGAGGCAGCTCAAGCCATGAGACATAAAGTTACTTCTATAAGGCTACCCAGCCAGTCGCTTGGGGCTCATCTCATAATCTCACTTCTCTTTACCCTTTATGTGAAAACTTGGGCCTAGCTAAATTAATTGCTTGGTTCTCCTGTTCAGAAGTTATTGTTTCAGCCTGCCTTTCAGCTTTATGTGAACCATTTCTCCCATAGAGGCTACCCTGTCAGCCTCCTCTATGCCTGTCTGTATAACTCTCCACTTAACTTTGATTATTCCATTTTTCTTAGTTCCTGCAGCATATCTGTATTCCACTTCCATCATAGTAACATTCAACTTGAACTTGATTGTCCCCTGTTAATTAAATCCTTTTCATAAGTCTGGGCTACAGTCATACTGCTCTGGAAACTCACCCAAAACAGTGTTTTTCTTTTATATCCATCTCCATGACAGTCTCCAGGCCAGGTATTGGCTGCTTGGCTGAACCAGGTGGGTGCAGGAGGCTCCAGACAGAAGATCATCCCAAAAGCATGATGCACTGAGGCCAGAAGGAGGCAATCATGAGGGTCTAATGT